GTTGCCCTCCGTATTTGGCAGTAGGGCTGCTGGAAGCAGGTGACACCCTCAAGGGTTGTAGTTTCCCTTGCAGGCCTGGGGTATCAGGACATTTAGTTTTCAGTAACATCCAGTGTTGTAAATTCAAAAAGCAGCACAGGAAAGAGAGACGCCACGGGACAGAGCTCACGTGGAGGGGTTTTTTATTAGGGGAAAGTGAGTGGGAAAAGGTGACAGTCCGACCTCTATAGACAGGAGCAGCAGGAGAGAGAGAGATAGAGAGACAGAGAGACAGAGGAGGTGAAGGAGGGAAGAGAAAGGGGGGAAGCAGTGGGCAGGGCCTTTTAAAGGGGAACATAGTGAATGTGCACAGGTGGTGCTCTTAGTGGCTGCAGCTGAGGAGACACCCTGTCAGAACCCCAACGACAGGCCAGTACAGATGCCTGAATACTAACACCCAGTTTAGAGCTTTCAGCCCATGGTCTCAGCCCCCCCCCCCGCCCCGCTTTCGAATGCCTGTAATGACCGGGTCCACGGGTTCTCTATTGCAGTGCCCCCCCCCCAGCCTCCCAGCAGAACTAACTCTCTCCTTCACCCTTCCCCTCTCTCCATCTCTCCTCTCCTCTCCATCTCTCTTTCTGCCCTCGCTGCACTCTAAATGTTCTGGTGCTTGATTCTCTGCTTGGTGCTTGGGTGTCAGGTGCATTGCCTGCATCACTCAGGGCTGCGTGGGTCACTCAGGAACCAGGTGGTAGGCATGATTGGTGCCACGCAGGCGCAGGCGGTTCGCTGGGAGGCGGGTCCAGCCAGCCCATCAGGAGACTGGGACAGGGTTTCCCTGCTTCTTCTCTGGCTGCTACTGGCACCAGCAGTCTCCTCTGGCCCTGGTCATCATTGGGTGACGAGGTAAGCACTTACCAATAAACATAAGTACAGAAAGATCACCTGAGAGAAATCTTTATTGGGCCTAATACTGCAGCATTACTGTAAGCAGCCCAGGAGAGCTTTTCTGGATAAGTAGACTCACTGAATGAGGCCAAGCAGACTCCTTAGAGCCCCAGAAAGGGTATCCAACCAAAGCTACTTGCTTGAGCCCATCACAGCATAGCTTCTACGACCTTCATAGCCATCGAAGCTTGTGATTTGGACCAATCATAGCCTTGCCTCTTGGAAACAATCAGAGCAATCCCTCCCCAAGGGGAAGTGCTCTTGCTCTGGCCAAGATGGACATGGTTCTAGGATCATTAAAGGTACTTTGAGGCTTGTCCTAGCCAAAAGAAAAATGGGTAAAACTGCTCCAAACTGCCCTGGCTGGAGCTGAGCCTTCAGGAGTCAGTACCATCAAGAGAGTCTTTGCAGAGTCCTATCAGGGTGTCTATAGAGTATTCAAGATGGCTGCTGCTAGGTTAGACGGGGGGAGTCCAGCATTTGCATTAGGGAAACACATTGCCCCACCTTGATGGCCTTGCTTAGTGACAGGAAAAACAAACGTCAGAAGGAGTGCATATTGGACAAATTTACATTAGTCACTAACAGGTCACTGACTTTAACAGATTTTTAAAATATTTTAACAAGGGTCAACACCTGCTAATTGTCTAGGGCACTGAGTGCCTCGGTGGGAAGGAGGGGAGGAATGGAATGTTAGGTAGTTGAGAGGTAAACGTGCTGGACACTTAGCAAAGGGAGAGGCAGTTCAAGTTCTACATGGAAGGGTACAGGGAGGCAGAACATGAAAAAGAGGATAAACTCATGAAGGCGAGAGTTTACTTTCCACCAAAGGGCAGCCCACAAGTTCTTATGTAGGAGTTTCTAAGTGGTAAGAGCTATGGCCTACTCATATTGTTATCCCTATCTAGTAACCATTATGAATCCATTGAGTAGCGAGCCACAAATATAGTGAAACTCCATTGTGTTTTCTGAGTGAAAGCTGTGGTGGGTGCTGGTTGGCTGGGCCTCACTGTACAGCCCGGGCTTGTCACCAGTCAGCTGGCTGAGGGTTATTTTGTTTGACCCCCACATAGAAATCATGCACAGATAAGACAGTCTGTTGGTCTCTAGCATCTTTTTCTTCCCCCGAGTATCTGTCAGCAGCAAGCAGTGGCAGAACATGGGAGCAGCAAGTGGTACCCTATAACATGACAGCCCCTGCAAAGGCCTAGGCTCTTTTGTGAGCTACAGTAGGCTTTCTTGGACCACCAACCTGCTCCCAAATCAAGGCATGGACTCATTATCAATTATGAATACTTGGTCTTATCTTACTCCGGTCCCACTAGCTCTCACAACTTAATTTAACCTGTTTCTCTTCATCTACGCTTTGCATCAGGGCTTTTTTAACCTCTCCTTCATTCTGTATGCCCTACTCTCTGCCTGGCCCTGGACATCCTCCTCTCTCTTTCTCCTTCTCTTCCTTTCAAGCCTAGATTCTTCCTGCTAATTCTCTCTGCCTGTCCCCCTCCCCCCCCCATTCCTCTCCTGCCTAGCTACTGGCAGTTCAGCTTTGTATTAGATCAATCAGGTGCTTAGGGAGGCAAAGCAACGTAGCCTTACATTGTGAAACAAATGCAGCACAAGCAAATGCAACACAGCTTTACATAGTCAAAGTAATATTCCCCAACAGCGAGTAGCCGATGTTACTGCTCAGTCTGAGACCGGTGACCCCGAAGATGTGGCAACTCTTTGGGACTCTTATGGTGAGCTGGCCAGGGCCTGCAGGTTTTGTTCTCTGGTTCTCGAAGCCTTTTATTGGTGATTCATACTCCTTTCCTTCCTGCTTCCACGCCCCTTCTTTCTGCCCTGGCCACTGTCAGAATATTTAGCTGTCCCATCTGTTGGTGGCTGCTGCAAGGACATTCTGGGGTACCTGCCTCTCTTGGGATAGCACAGGAGAGCCTAGGGTACCCAAGGGCTGTTCAGAGCCTGAACAGTGATCAGGGACACTGGGGAAGGATGCTGCAGGGTGAAGTGGATCTCCAGGCAGGAAAGCAAGCTGCCCCCACAAGCAAGGAGCCATACTAGTGCCATGAGTGTCAGTTGGTCTACGGGAGCTACAAACGAATGGGTGGGCTGCCACCTCTTTGGCTGTCAAGCTGCAGCTGCCAGAACTGTGTGCCAGGAGGCCTAGGGTTTAGGAGCACACACTAGAGACTGGAAGCCTGGTGCTATCAGCCTTGGGGACAACCCCAGGTAGTATCAGTTTCAGTAGCATAGGGGCTGTGTGACTCCCGTGGTGCCCACAGACCTTTAGTTAACGAGCCACTCTCCTGTGTGATTGCATTCATGCTGTACCTGTGGGATTAACCCCTCCCCAGGATACATGGCAATTCCTGTGGCTGTGCTTGTTTAGTAGTCACACTACTCCCAAGGCCGCCTGCCAACTGCCTCCTTTCTGAGTTCTGAGCTAGCTCATTCAGCCTTACCCAGAGTAGGCAAGGAAAGGCCATTAGAGAATCTTCCGGGCACTTAATGATGCTATGCCAGAAAAAGTCACACCGGAGAGTGTCTCCTGGTAGATCCCCTGAACAAACAGGAGTGTCCTGCCAGCGTACCCCAGAAGGGACATTTGGACCAGTCACTGCCCTGTCGCTATCAGATTTAGCACAGCTTCCTACCAGTTATAGTCCCTCCTAAGGCATATGTGTGTTTAGACACATTGCAAGCACATCCTAGACATCTATGAGACATATTTGTTGGATACTGGTTTGTACTGTGACAAAGATTACACATGATAAGGGCCTTGGGGAGGAGAAATCGTCCTGTTAATGAGAAGGGGTCCTGGCGCTTTCTGTGCTGTTCTGTCAGACACAAGCACAAAGCTATCCGCTAAGGTCTCTTGTGACTGTGCTAAAAAGTTAGACCCCGCCCTGTCTCCCCCCCATACACCCAGTTTGCGGGAAGGGTATGATGCCACCCATCGAAATGATCCAACATCACCTCTCATAGGTAGACCCCGCTGCCTCTCCTTTGTTGTGCAGCTTCAGCCCAACCCTGCCCCCTCCTCACAGCACCCAATCATACTTTACTTCTCCTGACAGCCCCCAACACAGAGTAATTCCCTTCCTTCCAGGTGTGCCTAAACCACCTAACCAACTCTACAACAAACTTCCTTACAAAGACTTTCCAAGTGTTGCCTCGGGGTATCGGTAAGCCTGGCCTGCTCAGAATCTAGAATGCTCCTAAAGGCCCTTTCTAGAGAACATCTTTCGAGGGGGTGGGAGAAGTCCTTGGCGGTGAGGTATTTTTGTCCTGGGAATCGATAAGCAAGGAGTCGGCCGTGTGAGACCAGGGGATGCGTACTGGGCTCTGAGGGAAAAGAAGGTTCCTCCATTTTATAGCTAACACTTGATCTCACATGCATCACCTCTGAACACCAACTCTGAGATGAAAGGGAAAACTAATTCTGTTCTCCTGTTCTTAGTCAAGAAATTCTTTTAGAAAAACATAATAAATGCGAAACGTAAAGCGGTCTTTCCAGCCCGGGAGACCTCTGCAGAAACTGTGTCGCCGACAAGGGTTTCACTGTTGGCTGCTGTCCCCGGATGTTGGACATAATCAATCCTTGTTAAGGTGGTGGCACACGTCTTTAATCCCAGCAGAAGCGCATGCGCGACCTCTGTGAGTGGGGGGAGAGAGGGGTGGGCGTGGGAGGAGGAGGAGAGAGACAAACAAAAACCCCCGAAAACTGCCGTGAAAGGGTCTATCGGTAAGGTGGGCCCCGAGGTCTCCCGAGGTTCGTTCGGACGGTGAGGCGGGCCGGGGATCGGGTGCGGAAGACCCTTTGCCCGCGAGCACTGCGACAGCTTGGGCAAGCGAGCTTCCCTTGGTGCAGAGGGTTGCGCTTGCGCAAAAGAACCGACCACACAGAAGGCCCGAAAAGCCCGCAGCCCGGGGCCCCCCCTCGCCACCCCTGGGAGGTGACCCGGAAGCTGATGCGTCGGGTGGGCGGCGCTGGGCATCCGTTTTCTTGAGCTGTGCGCCATAGGTCTACGCAGTTGCTGCATCTCGTCTTCGTTTGCCTGCAAGTCTGTGGAGGCCGTGCGGCTGTTCCAGGGGCTCCATGGCTGAGGGGGACGTCTCGATCGACCAGAGGCAGGTGAGCAGCCCCCGACAGGGATCGACCCTCCAGGCACAGCCGGCTTCGCTTTTCGGGTGTCTGTGCTGGTCTCCCTTAGCGCAGTCTGCGAGCCATGCATGACTCGTCATCCATTAGAACGTCACCGAACCCCGCATTTTCCACCTTAGGCCCTGGGCCAGGTTCGCAGAGCCCCAGACCAACCCAAGGAGCCAGACAATCCCGATGGATGGATGGATGGCTGGAAACGCAAACGTTTCTTTTTATTGTTCAAGCTGGCCAGCTCGGATTTCACTGCGTGGGGGTGGGGGTGGGGTGGGGGTGGGAGATGAGATGCCAGCCAGCCCTAAAGGAGGGGCAGGCCACAAGGCTGAAGGCCACAAATTTCAGAGATTCCATGGCTACTTAAAGATCATACAGAGACCAGGGTAAAGCAGTAACTATGCATTTTATGCAAGATGCATTTGAGTAAGATCAGGCAGGGCCCAGGGTTGCAGAGTCACAGGGTCTGTCAATTATCCTCGCTGCTGGGGGGTCTTTACAACCATCAGGGGACCTTTCTGACCAGTAATTAACAGAAGAAGGAATGTTGACGTAAGTGGTGGACAGTCACCTCCCCTTCTCCGAGAGGGGGCGTAGGCGCCGGCCATGACACTCCTGAGTGACGGAGTTAAAATTTCCTTTACCATTAGATGTTCCCTTTCTCTGTATAGATTTAGAACCCAGGTTTTAAAATTTTTATTAATTTTATTTTTTGGTCCTTCAAGGCCTGTTAATTAAATGCGTTCCTGGAATTCACGGTGTCAACCAAAATGGCGTGGGGCTCAGAGGCTGGGATTAAAGGTGGGCGCTGCCCCACCTGGCTGCCATTACATTTTAACCCTAACATAAATTCTTAAATGCTTTGATACAGTTAGCAAAAAGAAACGACAAGCTTTGTCTTGTTTCCAGATTAAAAAACCAACAAACAACATCTAAGACAGAAATACCCAGCGAGGCCTCGATGGGAATATGGTCATTTTGATGTGGGGACAGCCTTTTCATTTGGTAGATCTCATTACTAGATATGTGCGTTCGAGTCTTCGGGTGTGACGCAGGCTGGTTGCTGGTACGATGGACCTTGCATGGATCCCATCGCAGGGAAGGGTGACCGAGGGCGGGGGATGGGGGGCAAACACGCCAGGCCTACGGAGCTTAAGTGAGAGGTTCCATTGGAAAAGGGAGGGATGGGGAAGTAAAGAGGACAGAGGTAAAGAGACACAGAGAGAGGACAGAAGAGGGAGACAGGAAATGTCCTGTTGTCCCAGGGGAAAGAGTGGGGGGGGGAACGAGTATAAAGAGCAGAAAAGGGGCATGGGTAGGCGGGGTCTGAGGGCATGAGTGGGCGGGGTCTGAGGGCATGAGTGGGCGAGGTCTGAGGGCATGAGTGGGCGGGGTCTGACTTTTAAAGGGGTCCTTTGCACCTGAGTGCAGACTAGTAGTCATGGAAACCTGGGGTGACCAGCGTACTGCCTGAGGCATTCTGCCAGGTGACAGAGGCAGGCGCATAATGCCTAAGTCCTTACAATCCCACCTTTAATTGTTATTAAAAAGGTGAGGAGTTAGGCATAACAGGTCAGGGAATAACTTGCGTTCTCAAGACTACTTCCTCCTGACCTGGGAGGCATTGACTATCTTTGGGGGGGCCTGAGAAAGCTGGGGTGCTGTCATGTCCTAGGGTAGCTTGCTGTGTCATTGCAGCCCAGGCTGTATGGAACTCTCTTGGTGCCTCTTAGACCTGGCAAGATGTTGGCAGAACAGAGGACAAGGTTAAGTTTAGGGAAATTTTTTTTCTTAGGTCCTGGTATTGGAGGAGAGGAGGATCATAATATTGGGGGTTGGGGGAGAGGGAGGGTTTCCCGAGGGGGTCCCAAGGTGAGGGAAGGGAATCCAGGGACCAGGAAGGGAAAGGTGAATGATGTTTAGCTGGAGTGAATCTGATCTGTTTGGGTGGGTCCAGTTCGCCTTCCTGGAACTTATAAGAATCCTTTGAGTTTGTGAAAATGCAAGTTTTAGACACATTAGCATTTCCATTGTTTTTGATCTGACTGAAATTTGCATTGTAGAAATGGCAGTATACTCGTGTAAGCAATGATTTGGTTGAAAGCATTAACACTCTTAAAACTGGCAGGTATTTTTAGCACAGTGAAAAGCACCTTAACCTTGACCTTGCAGTTATATCAATGTTGAATTAGTAGCTTCTCAAACCTTTCTTGATTAATAATGAGAGAGAAAGAAATCTGATAACTTTCATTTCTATACCTTAAATTAGTTTGTTATACCTTAAAACATTTTTTTTTTTTTAAACAAAGGAATGGTAAGAAATCATACTGAAACCAGCGTTGTGATGAAGCTTGAGGGGATATTGAATGGATTCCATGGTGGATTCCATGACAGGCAAGGGTGACAGAGGCTGAGGGACAAACAGCAGACAGAGCTTAAGTGAGACGTTTTGTTAGAGAGGGGAGGGATGAGGAAGGAGAGAGAAAAGAGATACAGAGACACAGAGACAGAGAGAGGACAGCAGAGAAGAGGGAGACAGGACAAGTCCTGCCTGCCCCAGGGGAAAAGAGCTAAAGGGAGTGTAAGTGAGCAGGGTCATAGCAAAAGTGATAGGAAGCCAGACAGCAGAACGTGCCCAGATCATAAGGCCTCCCAAGGCTCCTCTTTGTCCTGCCTAGGTATGCTTATTGTCAGTGCTATAAAAGGTAGTGAGAACAGGTTATCCATGCATGTTCATTTGTCCAAATCAATTTTCAGAATGAGGAGATTGAAGCAATGGCGTCTATTTATGGCGAGGAATGGTGTGTCATTGATGAGCGTGCCAAAATATTTTGTATTAGAATCAGTGATGACAAAGAGGACCCCAAATGGACCCTTTGCTTGCAGGTATTCTTTCTTCTTCTTCTTTATAGCTGGCTTCCAGTCAGCAGAATTTAATATATATCTGATGCCATTTGACTCTTATTTCAACATGAATTGCTTTCTCGGTTGCCTTTGCCGTATTGTCACAATTATTCGAACATAGATACTTAGATCTCAGATCACATTTTTGTTGATTGTTGCAATCTTGTCTTAATCCTTGTAATTATTAAACATGGTAATGTTCTATTTACAGACTTGAGTTACATCACCTCCTTTTGTTTCTCTAACCAATAACAGGAGATTTAGACCTGAAAAGGTGGCTAACATTTGAGAGGAAGAGAAGGTTATAGATGAAAATTCATAAAGATTAATTGTGGCTTCCTGTCTTAGTGCTTATTCCACAACTGCTGTATTTTTACAGAAAGGATGCCAAATTGTGGATTTTGCAGCATTTGTTGTCACAATATTGATTTTAAAGGATGTGTTTTTCACAGACTTTCTTTAATGATATTTCATAGGGTATTTTGTTTTTATTTGGAAAATGAAAAATAGCATCAACATTCCTTGGAGTCAGGGCTTAGTACCCCTGTATCCATTTCTTTTCGTCTCTGTTTTTAGTATTTTTTTTTAATTTTTAAAAATGATTCCTATTTACTTAATTATTTATTTGTGTACATTGTTGTTTTGCCTACATGTATGTTTGTGTGAGGATGTCAGATACCCTGGAACTATAGTTACAGACAGTTGTAAACTGTCACTTGGGTGCTGAGAATTGAACCAGGGTCCTCTGGAAGAGCAGTCAGGCTCTCAACCTCTGAGCCATGTCTTTAGCCCCTTTAACCATATTCTTTACTTTCATTCTGGTATAGTTTCTTGGCCATGAATTAGCTTCTAAAAACAAAGACAGTCTCTCTAACAATGTATCTTTTGTAGAACCATAAATATGATGGAGAGAATTTTCATTTGATAGTATATAAACCAATGGTTTGTCTTTTGTCTAGACAAATTAGAAACTTGTTCATTGACTGGCTTTATAAATGTAGCTGCTTTTCAGCTATGATCGTTGTAAGCGAATTTATTTTAAAACTTCCTTGTAGGTAATGTTACCGAATGAATATCCAGGTACAGCACCACCTATTTATCAACTGAAGTAAGATATATTTTTACCTTTATATTTTTATAAAAGTATTTTACTGTCAAATATAGTTTTCTATACACTCATTGTGTTTATACAAAATAATTCGTTTAAGATGAAAATAGAAATTAAAAACATTTTAAGATGGTATAGAGCATTTAACAGAATGATGTGAAACACATTGATACATGCTACCTGGTATAAAGGACAGTTGACAGAGGTCAGAAAATGCAGGTCTGTGGGGAGAAAGCATTCCTTGTGGCTCAGCCTCCTAACCCAGCTCTTGGATTAACTTCAAACTGTCATTCTTGAAATTATCCAGTGTGCTGCAGGTGGGTTGTGCCTGCTTCCTCCCTCCATTGCTGCTGAAGAACCATGAGTCCTGATCTGTTGATGCAAGTGACCTGTAACCTATCTCAACTTTCACTTCATAGTTTAGGAAAGCTATGGGAACAGAGTTGCATATGTTAGCTATGAAAAGTTGTTATTTTTGTTTGTATTTCAAAACTATGCCAATAAAATAAACAAAAATGGTTCTGTATTTTTTTATCTATTGCAAATGACAAATTCAGAATGCTTTTAAATATCTTTTCAGAAAAAAAGGCATTTTTACAATCACATGGCAACTTATTGGACTCATTCTTGAGAGTAACCTATTGGTTAGTGTAGCTTTTGCAGCTAGAAAAGATTTGGGAGCTTCTGGCATTGCAGTAGCCATTAAAAATCCAGAGTGTTAAATTCTTGAACAGGTTCTGCCACTGATACAAACTTGGGACAGGTTTCTGATACCTTAGGAACTCAATTTCTGTTTAAGTCATTAACATTCAGTAAGATTAGTGCTGATTTTGCTATGGTTACTTGAGCAGATTAAATGAATTAAGGCCAATGAAAACATTTTAATTCTGTGTAGATTTAAAAAACACATTAATAAATACTTGAAATATTTGTCTAATTCTTGAATAATTTTCTTTCCTGTGTTTTGTTCAATCTTAGTGCTCCTTGGCTGAAAGGGCAAGAACGTGCAGACCTATCAAACAGCCTTGAGGAAATATATGTGTAAGTGAATGACAGGTCACTTTTCACAAGCGCTGTGTTAGTGATCTCCGCTCTGGGCTTTTCTTGGCAGATGTGGTCATACTTTTCCTGAACCTTCTGGTAGGCTTCTTCATTAACAAAAGCATTCACTTTAAGCAGGCTGGAAAGATTAGTTATATAACTTCACATGTGCATTTGATTGAAAAATATGGTAATATTTAAAGTTGGAAGACTAACAACATTTATTTGGCTTCTGAAGACAATTCAGAAATTCTATTCTTGTGTATTCTTGTAGCATATAATGAGTGAAAATGATGATGGCAGAATTCAAGTCATAGTTATTTATTAAAGTTCTAAATACTTTGATAGTTCTTTTGTATTAATCTGGAAGACTAAGATTCTACAGAGGCACTGATTTTGTTCATTCATTCATCCCTCCCTCCCTCCCTCCCTCCCTCCATGACAGCAGTGTATTAGATTCTAGACACACATAGTTTCACAAAACTAGAAATGACCTGTTTTCATAGCATTTAGATTGTCTCGTGTGGTAGGGGACTGCATTACCTCCAGCATTGTGAAAGTGCAGGTAGCCCTGCAGCTGTGATGGGTGTGATGGTGATTGAATTTGAAAGCTTTATTCTGGTCTGGGAGTCTTTTGACAAAAAGCTGAGTTAATTAGCTCACACTAATTTCAGTGGGAGGCCAGAGCACAGTCATGGTGACATGAAGTGGGATAAGAGACAGACTAACATGTTGGGGAAGACCTGGAACGGTGGGCAGGAAGCCCTGAATTTCATAGGCTCTGTCAGGGATTTTTGTCTTAACCGTAAGAACTATTGAAAGCTGCACTTTGAGTATTGGGGTGGCAGTGATAAGACATGAGTCTGGAAAGGCAAGCCTGTGTCTCTGTTGAGATTGCCTTGAAAGCAGCAAGAGTTGATGTAGGAAACTTGTAAGGAAGCTGACAGGTTGTTAGTCAAGAGACAATCAGGTTGATTTGGATTAATGAAATATATTGATTTATTAAGCCAAATACTGTTCTGGATTATCAGGTGTTTTTTTTTTTTCTTTCTGAACCCAGGAACTAGTAAGCATTCTCTTATGTGTTCTAGGTGTCCTCCCTGTTTGGTACAATGAGAGTGCTCCCTTTATGTCCCAGGAATCAAGGCCAGGTTTCTTTTCTTCCCAAAGTATTTAATTAGAAATGATATATTACTTGTCCTCCCTAAATGACCTTTCTTGGGTCCCTCCTTAGTGATTCTGTTATCTTCTGTATATAATTATTTCTTTAATGAAATGTTTTTGATACCTGTTTTAACATTACTGGCCATTTTAACAATTGTATTTCCAACATGCCTCTTTTTTGTAATCCAGTTGCTTTTATTTAACTTGTCTTCACCACTTACTGTAGAATAAGGTAAATATACTTGAGGTTTGCATACAATTAATTATGCGGCTGGTGGTCACATCTCAGCTCACATCTGACTTGACTGCTTCTTTATTTCCTGGAAGTCTTTCCACCCTTGATTTCCATCATGTTAACACGTTTCCCTCCTGCCCATGCCGGTGCCATAGTCTGCACACTGCCTTGCCACCTGCCCGCTCAGATCCCCAGAGTCTTGAGCCCTAAGAGAAGTCTCTTCCAGGGCAAATGGCCTCTTCTACCTCACAGAGATTTAAACAGATTGTTCTAAAAATAAGAGAGAGGTCATGTTTTGATTAGTAAAAGTGCTTGAATAATAATTGTCATCTAATCATAGTATTTTCACATCTGATAGATAGCAATATGAAATGTATGGTATTTTTTTTAAAGTTTTATGTGACAACTTTTAATGATTTTATATTTTTCAGTTCATGGGCAATAAATGAAAAATATTACTAACTTTAAAAAATCAGATATAAATCTATCAATATAGTTTTTAATGTTTATAATTTCAAAATATGATACTATTAAGTTTTATATATCTAGAGCATTTTGAATGCTAAATTCAATATTTGCCTATATAAGAAGATAAACTATGATTAGTGGCCACTTATGTGGACAGGTAAGAAGAAAGAATCTTTTGGTAAACATTTTTTATTTTCTATATACTGGCTCTCTGCTAGAAATTTGGGGTTTAAAGATGAAGATGAAGAACCAGGTGTGATAGTGGGAGGCAGAGGCAGAGGCAGATAAATTGTTGTGGGCTCAGGGTCAGCCCAGCCTACATAGTGAGTTCCAGGACAACCAGGGCTACATAATAAGATTGCCTCAAAACAAATACAAAAGAAAGCACATTTAAACAGAGAGGCACAGGACATAGTTTCAGTACTAGTGCTCTTGCCTAACGTGTGTGAGACACTAGCTCTCACCCCCAGCTACACACACCAGTACACAAGTCAAGATGCAGAAGGTGCTTGGTTTCATTCCCCAGCAATGCACACACACTTGCGGATGGGTGTGTATCTGCATAATATTCACTGCCTGTTAGGCCATGTTAAGGCTGCTTTGGTGAAGTTTCTGGAATCAGCTTTGGAATAGCACCCTTCCTTGTGTTTATTTTCATACTGATGGGATGAGGATAGTGTCATTGTAAGGGTTAAATGATACCCACGTAATATACTTTATTTCACACCCAGTATTGGTTTGCTAGCTTTGCATCACTTAAGCAGAACTCTTGAGATAACTTACAGAAAATAGGTTTACTTTCGGGTACAGTTTTAGAGATTCCCATCCTTCATTGATTAGCCCTGTTGCTTGGACCTCAGAGGCTGCAAGTGTTGGGAAAGCAGAACTTCCTACTGTTAGCCAGAGAGTATAAACCCAAAGGACATTTGGGGACTTAGTGGACAAGCCTGTCAGCTGTGCTTAGTTTATTAGCTAGTTAGCTTCTGATTCTATAAAGGCTCTTACTACAGCAGGAATGGCAAGAGTTTGAAGACCAGTTTGCTTTGGAGGCTTTCCTGGAACTCATTCTGTAGACCAGCCTGGCCTCAAACTCACAGAGATCCACCTGCCTCTGCCTCATGAGTGCTGGGATTAAAGGCGTATGCTACCACCACCTGGTGGCCAGTTATTTATTTATTTATTTATTTATTTATTTATTTATTTATTTGCTTTTTAATAAGTCGCACTAACTCCTAGTGGATAGTTAAAAGATAGAAATAAATTCTTGTTGCAAGAGAACTTCTAATTCAAACATTTTGTACTTTAGTGGTAGACTTTTGGGGGTCTGTGGTAGAGAATGTTTTCTACTTGACCCGCTGTGTGCCTTTGCACTGGATTCTGAAGCAGTCGTCTTGCAAGTGCTAGTGAAGACAGGAGCAATGCATGGAGCTCAGTAGAAGTGCCTTCTTGGGAAGAATGCTGAGGAGAAGACATCTGAAGTGAAGGTTGCATTTCCTCTGTTGCTGTGGAAAGTTACTAACTGTAGAAATTCTTCCAAGATACTGTTTTCAAATGCTGAATGAGTGGTTAGATGCGGTGACCCAGTCTGTAAGCCCAGTCCAAAGACTGAGATAGGAAGAGCATGGGTTCAAGGTGGCCTGGGATACTTAGTGAGTAGACATACGGACTATAGCTTGGGCTACATAATGTGAGTTTATATTTATGAAGGGATGATTTTCAAGTTTCAAAGGGGCTAGAGAGTGTTTACTGAGGTAATAAGTGGGGTATTAAGCCTTTTGGTACTTATATATAGTAAGTGTTCAGTACCTGTTAGTATTAAAATCTCTAGAGTGATGGAGATATGAGGAATTTATTAGAATAAGAGTGGGAGATAGAACTCTATATAATGCTGTGATTTTGTTCAGCAAATTGTTACCAACACTAAGAAAGGGCTGACATTATCCTGCTCCCTACCATAGCCCCAAGACCTCATGTGTAACCAGTATACTAGAGGCTTTAAAAGAGGGAGGACTCACACACACCAAGATCATTGAGTCTTGTGTTTCTCCTAAGCCTCCTCGATTGAAGATTCACCCAGGACAGAAGACAAAGCTTTAGCAGCACGTGCATGTGGATTCTATATAGATCCACCCCATAGACTGCTGAAGTGTCCTTATCGTTAGCTGTTTGATGGGAGCAAAATGCAGTTGACTTGAGCTTTGAACCTCCATTCTCAGTTCTCCTTTTAGCTTGGGCCTTCTTAATTGCTGGCGAAGATATTGGACAAGCTAACTGATTTTTGTGAATGTGTTTGCTTACCTCTTGAATGGGGAAATCATGATGCTATTTTTGGGCAGTCCTGTGTTGGTGTATATAATGTCCTTGGAACCTAGTGTATACTTTAACACACTGGAACTTGCACTGGCCAGAGAAGAGATGAGTGGATATTATTTAAAAGAAATTCTCTGTCTTTAAAGACCTTTCCAGTTGACATCTATATTACCTACAAATAAAGCTTTGCAGCAAAGGGCTGCAGCATAGCAAAGACCATTGTGATGTCAGGAATTAGACACAGTGAGATGGGTGGGTGTGGCAGTCTGTAAACGTTTGAAAAGTGCTTATTTTCACAGTGTCCCTTGGTGGACACAGAGGAGGGTAATAAAGAGGAATGATGATTTTGAGGGAAGTTAAAGGAAAGCAGTAAGATGCTGCTATCACATAGTTGGGGCATGTCTTTAGACACACACCAAAGCTAACATAGTTATTATCACTCCCTAAAAACTAGATTCTTGCTCTTTAACTCTAAAACTCAAAAAACATTATTTTTCTCAGTGATTTGAGATGAATTTGATTATCTGAGCCAGCCAAACATTTGAAATCAAAATGAATCAATTATGTAGCAGACTAGTTTGTTAAAAAGAAAAGTTATAGTTATAAAACTGTTGAGTTACATGTCTTAGATCTTTTAAGATAAATTCTGGAGAGAGTCCCGGAATATTCTGCTAAGCCTTGTTGAAGGATTTGTGTGCCAGACAAACAGATTGAATTGTTCAGAGTTGAGAGAAGCTAGTGGTGGTTGGACATAAATCCCAAAACCACATGGCTAGAAACCAATCATATCTACACCTATCTCATTTGTGTAGTTTGGATTTAGACATTTTCTGTCCCTTTTTTGGATGTAATTGTTCTCCTTAATTTAAGTTTTAAGTAAAGTGGAATAATATTGGAGCCATTTGGAATCTTTAATGTTGGTATATGCAATATACTCAGACATAAGTGTTGATAAATTCTATGTATTACATATTTGGAAAGGCATGTTTGATTTTATTATAATTTCTTAGGTTTTAAGTATAAATTTTTTGAATTTAAGAAGATGAATTTTTGAAGTAATAAATTTTACTCCTGGATTTTTTAGACAGAATATTGGTGAAAGTATTCTTTACCTGTGGGTGGAGAAAATAAGAGATGTTCTGATACAGAAAGCTCAGGTAACAGAGCCAGGTAAGACTGAGTGATACTTTCTGTCTTCTAATTTGGAGTACTTAAATTTTCATATGGATGTTATGATTGAAAATATACATGAAAATCTATATTCGTGTTTGTGGTTTGTTTCTATTTCTACCCCCTCCCTCTCTCCCTCTCTCTCTCCCTCCCTCCCTCTCTCTCTCTCTCTCCCTCCCTCCCTCATGTTTGAATATATAAATCAGATATTAGTCTTAAATAAATCTAGTGTTCATCAGAAAAGAACTCTGAAGTATTTTGACTAATAGGATATAGAGTTTAATTTTAAAATAGACTTTCAAAATGAGATACCATTTACATACTGTAATTATTCACCCTTCTTAGAAATTAAAGCACTGCTGCACTATTAGCCTTTATTGAACTGCTGCGTAGACAGAGGGCAGCGTGGGCTTCCATCCCCTTCACTTTACTTTGCCGTCACTCACCACAAAGGCCTTTGGAGAGAAAGAGAAACTCTTGTCTCCCATTTAGCTTGGTAGTTTCTCTAAATTGCTTTTTATTCTCACCACTGGGAAAATTATTTTCTGTGTTGGGGAAAAGAATTATAAAGGAGCCCTGTAGCTTATTTAGAATTTTTAAAAGAGGGTTATTTACAGAGAACTAATCATTTTGCATGTTTAAAGTTGATAGCAGTATGTGTGTTTCCAACCACTTTTACCGTTTTTCTGCAGAAGGAAATATTTTAGTGCTGTGTTAAAAATCACAGAGGACTGGAGAGAGAATGGCACAGAGACACTAGACTGTAGCATTTGAAAAGTGTTTGCTTTGACTTTTGGATCCATGTCCTGATCTTACAGCATTCAAAGCTGTATGAGAAAGAATACGTCTCTGCATGTTCTCAAATCCAAGTGAAGTTTGCCAGCTTGTCTGGTAGAGAAGAATAGCTGTAGAAATTGAGCATGCTATCAGTCCACATTGAGAGCTCCAGAGCATTTGGAGCCATTCAACTTTCAGGAAAATTTAACTCATTTCAGTAAAGATGTGCCCCTCCATAACCTTGGCTCTTTAGATTTAGAAGTTACTTTTAGTGTTGAAAAGTACTTTAACATTTTATTTTAGAAGTTTTGTGTGGGTCTTTTCCTTAAAATAGTTTTTAGACTAGGATTGTAGCTTAGTGGTAGGATATGTACCTGGCAAATCCTGTATCCATTACATTCTATTCTAATTTGTTTTAAAAAGTAAAATAAAAAACAAAAAAAAAAAACCTTGTTAAAGAATTATATTAGAGGGGGCTGGAGAGATGGCTCAGAGGTTAAGAGCACTGGCTGCTCTTCCAGAGGTCCTGAGTTCAATCAATTCCCAGCAACCACATGGTGGCTCACAACCATTTATAATGAGATCTGGTGCCCTCTTCTGGCCTGAGGGCATACATGCATACAGAATACTGTGTATATGATAAATAAATAAATAAATCTTAAAAAAAAAAAAGAATTATATTAGAGCAAGAGTGAATGATTAGGGCATAGCATCAGAATTGTCTTCTCCAGGGCAGCTACTAATCAAGTAATTCATTTTTATTTTAGTATAATTTGTTTTTTTATTTTCCTAGGATAAAATCTTTAAATTTTTAAGTACGTATACATAATTTTTTAAATTTTAAAAAGAAAATCAGGGCTTATTTTAAACTCATGGAAAAGTGCCAGGAACAGTAAAACAGCTATCCTGTGGTATAACAAGGTATAAATTGCCATCTTGTGTAATAATGTAATAATTGCCAGGAGTAGGAATCTAACCACAGTACAATACTGTTTGGTTAACTAAAGAGCTTTTTCCACTGACACCTTTTCTTTTGTTGTAGGACCTTATCCACGATTCTACACTCCATTTATTAGTTTGATATCTTCTGTACTGTAATCCATTCCTCGGTCTCTCCTTAACCTTTTAAACAAATGCAAGAGCATATCTGCATATGCATTTGTGTGCAGGTGCATGAGTGTGCACACTTGGAGCCAGAGGACAGTCTTGGGTGTTATCCATAGAAAGGGCATTCTCTCTCCTTGAGGATAGATTCAGGGTAGACTTGCTAGTCAGTGAGCCTCACGAGTCTTCCTGTTTTTGCCTCCCCATCAGTGGGAAGGACTCCAGGGACAGAACTCAGGTCCTCTCCAGTCCCTTTGGTTTACTTTTATAACCTTGACACTTCTGAATTTTCTGTTTATTTTGTGGATTGCTAATGGTTTGGTCTTGTCAGTGCTTCTGACCAGAGTGGGCTGTTTTTGGTGAGAGTACCTAGCAATGATAGTGTATCCTTTGCATACAGTGCACTAAGAAGTTCATGATGTCAGTTTGCTTCCTAATTGCTTTACAGCACAGGACACCACACCAGGAAGTTCATGGGATCAGTTTGCTTCCTGACTGTTAATGTTTACCTTGATCTTTTGGTTAAAGTGGTATCTGCCAGTTGTCTCCACCACAGTTAGTATGTTGGACTTCTCCAGAAAAACAAACCTCATAAAATATTATTTGCTTGTATGTATATAGAGCTTTATTTTGAGGAATTGGCTTATATAAGTATGAGGATGATAAATTTGGAATTTGCAAGACCAGCCCAGTGTAATTTAATGTTGCAGTTTATGTCCAAAGGTGATCTGCTGGGAAAATACCCTGTTTGTGGGGATCTGTCTTTTCCCATTAACTTGAATGAGGCTCCTTATTGTGGAGGAGGACAAAATTGGTGGATGGTGGATGTAAATGTTGGTCCCATCCAAAATATGCCTTCATAGGAACATCTGTAATAGCATTTGTTCAAAGACCTCTGCATTAGGGCCTCACTAAGTGACATGTAAATTTAATAATGGCAGTTAATGTCTTTCCTTTTACGTGTGGGAGATTTTTTTTTCTTTTTGGTAGTGGGAGGAAGAGGGTTTTGTTGTGTTGCCCAGTACCCGGTTGGCATCAAACCCCCAAGTTCACATAATAGTCTTGCTTTCCTCTGACTAAAGTTTTGGAAGGCTGTGCTGAGGTTTGTTATTTTTTTCAGTACTTGGGGTTGAACCAGGGACTTGCTTGCGATGTAAAGAGCACCTTGTCCTGAGCTGTTTCTCCCCCTTCCTGTCCTTTCTTATGCTTTTACTACATTTAGCACCCATCAGTAGATCCTGTTAAGATCTTTATCACTCTGATTTTTACCTCATGGGGGGAAAAAGACCCTAAACCTTATATCCTTCATTTATTTATTTCTTAGAATTCTGTTGTAAGAAAAAAAAAATCATGATTCCTTTTGTTGAAGAATGAAGTGTAGAGGTCAAGATTCAGTCCCTCCCTCCTTTCCCCTTCTTCCCTTCTTCCTTTCTCTGTCTCTGTTTGTGTCTCTCTTTATCTCCACCCCCCTACTCCCTCCACCCCTCCACCCTACCCCAGATGACTTGGAACTTGCTGTGTAGACCAGGCGGGCCTGGGACTCACCAAGATATGCTTGCATTTGTCTGCTTCCCAAGTGCTGGGATGCCAATGATTTTTGTATTTTCTTATTTGTTTCATGGATCAATCATAATCTCATATCCACATAGACCCAGTTGTAAAGAAAAAACCTGAAGAGAAAAATGTTGGATGTCAACGTAAAGTCAATGTAGGATGTCGGCCAAGGAAAGCAGTTAAAACCGTAGAGCGCACTGTCACTAAACCAGGTACGGTGTTTGACTAGTTCCTCTGGAGGAGATCAAGTCATATTGCTCTTTGGGAGGCCTAGAAGCAAAGACTCATGTGTGAGGGAGTGCTTGTTGCTTGTGGACATTGAAATGTGTTCCCTTCCTATTAGCCTTTTGGTTAGCAGCAGGCAGCCAAGACAGTTAGGTACTTTACCATAGTTACAGTGATTGTTAAACTTGTTGAAAATATGGAACAACTGGAGTTATTGCACTTTTATGGTCTATGGACTGCCAGGAAATAATCAAATTGAGGGCTGAAACAAAGAAAGAAAAGAATACAGACTGCATATAGTACTATGGTGTTTAATTCCATTATGTAAAGTAGGAGCAGTTTTATTAGAAGACATTATATTATAACCACACAATATAAAGCCAGTCAGAGATTCCCTACTCCAGAGGTTGCCTATATGGAGAAACACGTTGTGTGAGCCCCTGTTAGTCATTGGTCTAAGAAGCCCTTTACTCTTTTAAAAACTAGATGCTATATCAACTTAAACTACTATGGCAGTCCAAGATTTGAGTCCTGACTTTGTACCACTTTCACTGAGTGGCAATGACAGGTGGAAGTCATTTATTTTCTCTTACATAAATAAATTTATGAACATTTTACCAGTTTAATTTTGGTAGGCAATTAATTTATGCTGCTTTTGCTTAGATTTTTCCATATAACATTATTTACATCCCAGTTCTTTTCCTTTATTGCTGATTTTCTTTTGATCTTACAGAAGTTCCAGAATTGCCTCCAATTGATCATGGAGTTCCTATTACAGACCGAAGGAGCACTTTTCAGGCACACTTGGCCCCCGTGGTCTGTTTTGAGCAGGTGCGTGACTGTCTTACCCATCTTGACCCTATTCCACCAGTGTGGTGCTAGTAGGTGGTTTTGCAGCAGCATCTTCTGTCTCACTCTTACGGTTTCACATAAGACAAACATCATTTATTTGTTTTCCCACTCCAAGTCCTATAAGCATTTGCTTGTTTCTGTTTTCAAATTGTGTATAAACTTTGCTTTTTTGTTGAGGGTTAAACTAGGTCATGTCCATTCTAGACAAGCATTCTATCACTGAGCTATAACACTAGGGCTGTATTTAATCTCTGACTGGATCTTTTTCTTTAATGAATCATTAAGAAAAACTCATGTTTCTATAGAAGACCATGGTGCTTACCAGCTGGTCAAAAGGAATTATTTTGTCTACTGAATATGTGAACTAAGTTCATTCTGTTGCCTGATGAGGGAGGGCATTTGGGCCAGTGTGCCAGGACCAATCTTCTGCACATTGTTTCTTTGGTCAACCATATTCCTACCAAAGCATGCAAGTGGCAACTCGTTTTTCAAACCCTCTGTTTGTCGGTCCTAGTCTTTCTTATGGATTTCCAGTAAAAACTGGCTTTATTTCCATGACCTAGCAGAAATTTAACTGTTATAAGCAGTTTCCCACCAGCCTGGTCCCAGGGCCTCGTTAGCCCCAAATTGTTGTTCTTTTGTTACAATTTTAGGAATAAAGCTGGAGAAGCGTGGGTGGTGTCCTGCGTGGGGGTCCCAAGGTAAGGGACCACGTAGGAGAGCATTACGGGTTCATTAGCAGGAAAGGGTGACTGAGGCGGAGGGAATACCACACCAGGTAGACAGAGCTTAACTGAGAAGTTTAGTTAGAAAGGGGAGTGAGGGAGAAGGGAAAAGAGACATAGAGGCACTGGGAACGGAAAAGAAGAGGGAGGGGGGTGATTTCTTAAAAGGGGAAGCTTGTACATGAGTATGAGTCCCATAATGAGTACACAGCCCCATAATGAGTGACATTGTGATGACACGGCCATACAAGGTATGCATGTCCCGCCAATCATAAGGGGGTGGGGTCAGCAGAATACCAGTTTCCAATACAAATAATACACTATCTATAATCTGTGCTAAATTATACATTATATTTCTAAATGAGCTATATAAACACAATACCTAAACAGGAGAAATAAACATATCACAAAATTGACCTTAAACTTGTATCAATACATGAAAATCCATTCCAAAACAAAGTATTCATTTCTATACCATAATCCCCCTTTTACTTTTAAAAAGAGATTGGTTGTGATCATTAACCATTTATAACCAACTCCATTTAAATGAAAACAAACATTTATAGACAATATTTGGGAATTTGGGCATCATTCTTTCCAAACTGCTTCCTGCTGGTTGGGGACGATGTAATACCATGGGGATCCTAAGAAGACTCAGAAGTCCTGGCTGTAGTCTGCAAGTCTGCCTTATCCCAGCTGTTTTGAATGTTGAGTCACCTGGGACACTGTTTCAGGGGGTCTTACTTAATCAAACCATGTTAGTCTGGAAGGAATCCACAGCTTTTTATTTTCTTTGGAAACAAAAATAGAAATTCCGTTCCCTAGTAACCTGTCCTTAGACTTAAAGTTTGAAGTCAAAGCATTTTTAAAATATAATAAGTTGGATTAATTCAGCAGCATCAATAATCAAATGTATTTTAGCAGTTGTTGTTTTTTTCTTAATAATTGAGCAATTCAAAGACAACACAATAGCATACAGTATCCAGACTCTCTGTATTTCCCAACTTTAGGTGGCTTTTTTATTACTCTATTTCTTATACTGTTTTCATTTTTTGAGACAGGGTTTCTCTGTGTACCTTTTGCCTGTCTTGTAACTCTGTACACCAGGTTCACTTTGAAATCACAGAGATGTGCTTGCCTCTGCCTCCAGAGTGCTGGGATTAAATGCTACCACTGCCCAGTCACTTTAACCAAATACCCTTTGTATTTTCTCTCCCAGGCCTATGTATATTTTTAAACACACTATAAACCTTTAGAGGTTTTTCTTTATCTTAATCCGACTTTATTGTAAATCTTTTTTCTCCCCTGGCCACGAGTCTTCTATCTGCTAAACAGCAACATTGCTTTCCAATATATCAGGGGTACATTTACTGCCAGCAGTGAGAGCTGTGCTCACCAACTTGGTCTATTCTGACATCAAGCAACATGCTACTGACTTGGAAATGTGGTCACTGCCACCTGCTCATACACAACATTGAATTGTTAGTAGGGTTTACCCTAAAAGAGCCCTATGGATTTTTCTGCATATGCCAAGTCAGGAAACCTCCCTTAAAGGAGCTGCATGAGTCTCTTCTCTGCTTGTCTCTAGCAAAACAGAGCCCGCCTAAGAAAAATGCTGCTACCAAGAAGACTTGTTTGTCTCTGTTCTTCTGCTTCTAAAATCCCTTTTTAAGCTTTTGTCAAATTTAAATGGAAGTTCTTAGTACCCACGTTGCAGGCGCCATTTTGTTACAAGCAGTTTCCCTCCCTGAGCTGTGTTTACTGCCTATCTTGCTTTCCTATTGTATTCCTATAATTTTTTCTTTTACTCTGTTTCTTTTGGGAACCATTTTGTTATGAGCATTTCCCTGCCAGCCTCGTTCCAGAGTCGCATCAGCCTCAAATAACACACAGAGACAGAGTGTTAATTATAAAGCTGTTGGCCAATGGCTAGAGCTTCTTAATGGCTAACTCTGTCTTAAATATTAACTCATTTTTATCCATCTAAGTGTTTCCACATGGTTTTATCTTACCGGAGAGAGGGTCCTGACCTACATCTTGACTCCTCTGTACTACATCTCCCAGAATCCTCCTTGTCTCCTAGTCCCGCCTATCTTGCCTCCTATTTGCCAACAGTGCTTTATTCATTAACAAAGAAGAGAAACATATTCACAGAATGACATCTCCCATCATTTAACTGTATTGATGTACAAGGTGGTTCCTTTTCTACCTGTACAGTTAAATAACAGGCAAAGTGCTGCCTTTGTTCACCACTTTGGGGGTTAGCCTCCTCCCTTTGGAATCTGTTCCTGCTTTAACCTCCACCCCCACTGTCTCTTCTTTGCAATGCTGAGAATGAGAACCAGAGCCTCCAATATCTAGGCAGGTGCTCTACACCCCAGCCCTTTAAGTACCTCTGCAGTCTGGACTCTTAGGAATGGAATTGTGTTTACAAGGACTCTACTCTCAGGACCTGGGACAGGATGTTCTCCTCTACCCAGATGTGTGCTCAGAAGAACCACTTTTCCATTCAGCTGACTGATCTTTCCTCTGAAGTCCCATTCTATCCTTGGCCTTTGTTCATACTCCTCCAGGATCCTTCTCAGACACTTTCTTATGAATTGGCTATCCTGAACCCACTTTTCTTGATCACAGACCCTTAGACTGTGGAGAGCCGAAATCATCTTTAAGATGGTTATCTACTTTTCTGTGTTGATCCAGAGTCTGGTAACTGATAACTGCGGATTGCATGGTATGTGAATCTCAGGCTGTTTTCAGTATTTCTCTTGAGTTCATGGCAGTCTGATTGCATCTCACTCTCCTTTCCACCCAGCTTCCTTCTCAGAGTCTTTGCTGATTTCCATTGCAAGGGGGAAAACATCTTAACTCTTTACACAAAACCATTGTGTTTAATTTCTAATTTATCATTAATGGTGCACCTTGGATCTTCTCATACTCTTATGGTGCAGCATGTAGCAATTCCTCAGCCTCTTCTTATTCCTTGTAGGGCTGACAGGAAATATAGACACCAGTCTCAAGTAGACATTCATGGGGATATACTTTTATTTATTTTGCATTTCTATTGGAATATATCTGTTGTTGACTTGAAGTTCTTTTTTGATTGGACATTTTTTATTATTGTTTAGTTATTTATCTAGTCCTATTACTCCTTGCATTTGCCCTCTGAGTGAATTTCTTCATGCCTCTTCCTCTCCCTTGCATTTTGCTGTAGATTACAAGAGCTAGGTCAGGACTTCTCTGTGAAGCATGCTTGGTTCCTAGAGATGGTTTTGATTTTCTAACATTGGGAGCATGCTATCACTGTACACCTATCACAGAGTGAGCATGTGCAGGACATTTCAGAGCTAGTTTGGGGAAATGCGCACACTTACATGGAAAGTTCTCTACATGGGGAACAAACTTCCATGTATTGTGCCTTAGACATACAGGCTAAGCAGCTGTTGGTAAGTATTGCTCAGAAAATGTCTGCCATATTAGGTTACTTCAGATCATTTACAAAGCAAATAAAAGCCATACTCATTTATTTATATTACTGCTGTTTTTAAGGTGAAAATGGTTCTTGCCAAATTGTATGAGAATAAGAAAGTAGCCAGTGCCACCCACAATATCTATGCTTACAGGTGAGTGACAGTTTTTGGACTGTGTAATTTATGAATAGTGCTTGGGAAATTATGCATGACTGTAAAATAGTGCTGTTTTTTATTATGATAATACACCTGTGGAATATGTAAAAGCTGCTAAAAGAGAAAACGCAGCTGGAGGACATGTGTGACTGCTAACTGTGTGCTTGTGTTTTGGTGCATGTTGTCTTTTCCCTGAAGTTCACTCTTTTCCACACTTTTATCTCATGTCCTATTTTTTGATTTAATAAAAAAATATTTCCTATAGTGTATTTCATTAAAAAGTGTTTTAATGTCCTTATTTGCCTGAGGTTCCACACCACAATTTATTCCTCAATTTCTTCTTCATTGCAGTTTTTCAAATTTTCAATATTGTAAAGCAAGTTTGGCAGACTTTTTTGAGTGGGTTGGGGGCGGGAGGGGGTGGGTCAAGACAGGGTTTCTTTGTGTAGCTTTGACTGTCCTGGAACTCACTCTGTAGAGCAGGCTGGCCTTGAACTCACAGAGATTTACCTGCCTCTGCCTCCCAAGTGCTGAGATGGAAGCCGTGCACCACCACTACTTGGCAGCAGATATATTTTGAACGTTAGTTCAGTTATTTCTACAGAGTAGATTCGGTTACTTCACCTTTGTGTGCACACATGTGTGTGGCTTTGCACATGCACACACATGTGTGTGGGTATGCTTTCCTATGTTGGGCGTTGTCCTCAATTGCTCTCTTCCTGACTTTTTGAGGCAGAGTCTCTTGCTGAATCCGGAGCTCACTATTTTGCATGGCTAACTGGGCAGCACACCCTCATCATCCCCTGGTCTTTGCCCCTCGAGCACATGTTGCCACAGCAGCCTTTTGGTTGGGTGCTGGGGATTGAGACTGAGACTCTCATGCTCATGCAGAAAGCTCCCACTGTACACTGAGCCCCAGCTCCTCTCCCTCCTTTTTAAAAAATGAAGTGGAGATATTATTAGAAGGAAGACAATAGCTTTAAAATAGAACTATCAAAAAGTAGGAATACTTTTCAGACTTTGTATATATTGCAGGTTTTCCCAAAGATGATTTTTAAACCAATTTGTACTCATATAAATAATGAGTTAAGAGTGCTTTTACAGCAGGCCTTGGGGTTTTGAGTGCAAATGTATGCTGATTTGCAAATGAAGACATAAGTAACATTTAAAAATATACAAAGTAATAATACTTAAAAATGTAGTTTAGTGCTAAAGTAAAAGTAAAACAGAATGAATATATAAATATATATATACATATATATATATATATACATGCATATATATATATATGTGTGAGAGAGTGTTGCTATAAATTTAAAATTTAGTTGAATGTTTATAAAACCTAAGTTGGCCAAACTTCAAATTCGATGCATATTAGTAGGTTGATGGAAGATGCCATTATGTATATGTTTCTCATACTGGTTAATGAATAAAGCACTGTTGGCCAATAGGAAAGGAAGGTAGGAGGGACTAGGAGACAAGGAGGAAAAAGGAAGTAGTAAGGAGGAGTCAAGATGGAGAGTCTGGAGAGAACAAAACTGCCATTCCTCTGCTCTTGGTAAGACCACGTGGAAATACATAGAAATGGGTTAATACTTAAGACAGAGCTAGCCGATAAGAAACAAGTACCTGGCCAACAGAATTATATCAAATACAGAGTCTCAGTGTGTTAATTGGGGCTGGCACGGAGGAGGGACAAGACTAGGCAGCGAGCAGAAAAACCTTAATCTTTACAGTAGGTTCACATCTTTAAAAAGGATTTATTAATGTGTATGGGTATGTGCTCTCTGAACAGTATCTAGATAGAAATTTAATGTATTCCTTTTGTTTGCTTGTTTGCTTATTTATTTATTGTCTTTTTGATAGGATCTCTTATAGCCTATGCTGGCCTCAAACTTGCTTTATTGGATGTTAAATTGATCCTACTTCTGTCTTCCAAGTGTTGGGATCCAGCACTATATTAAAAACTTGGTAGCTGGATCAAATGAGAGGAAGATTATGAAACATTCACTTGTGTTGACCTCTGTCTGCTTTGATGCACTCATGTTGTTTTCACGGTATCTTAGGCTCCTTGACGACAGGAGTGTGCTATCTATTTCTTACCTGTCACTTTACAGTTTCTATTGTATAATGCCTGTGTACAGTATATTCTCAGTGGATGGCTTTCCATCACTCTGGGTCCTAGTGTCCTCATTGTGAAGATGAGCTCATGTGGCCAGGCAACCATAGCAGTGCCTCAGGCAGAGTTCAAGAAGAATAAATATGCTCATTTTGGAGGTGATCATATTGATTACATTACATATTGAGAACTAACATTTACTCTATGATACATCTTATTGTAATTTGATGCTCCCAAGTATAGCCATCCATATGTATTTTAGGATATACTGTGAGGACAAGCAGACCTTCTTGCAGGACTGTGAGGATGATGGAGAAACAGCTGCTGGGGGCCGTCTTCTTCATCTCATGGAGGTCAGTGTAGAGTTCAACTCTGAATATGCATTTACGGAACATCCCTTCGGAAGCAGGAAGAATTTCAGTGATGTGAGACACTGGGCATACACATTGATTGAGGAGAAATATTCACCATTGGACCCTGGTAGAACGTAGACAGTTAATACCAAATGTGGGCTTTCCAGGAAACACACAAGATTGTCTGCCGCTCTGGGAAACTGCCCTTTGTTCCCTGGCAGTGGCTTTCTTGTTTTATCTTTGTGAAACTCCTTTTTATTTGGATGCTGAAACAGAGTAGATGGAGGATATTTCATTGTTAAAAATTAAATTTCTTGTCTCTTTTGTCTTTATGTTCTGTGCCATTGTCTTGACCATCTCCCAAAGTTTATGTATTTTTAACAACCTTGCATTTAATTTTCTTAAGCAGTATTCTCTTCCTTGTTAGAAATAATTTCCCCTCTTTGTTTTATATACATATATATATATATATTATATGTATGTATGTGTGTGTGTGTGGTTTATATGCATTATATCTATGTACCATGTGCATGCGGTGCCCTCAGGCCAAAGATGACATTAGATCCACTAGGACTGGAGTTTCAGATGATTGATCTACTATGTGGGTGTTGGGAATCGAACCTAGGTCCTTACAAGAGCAGCAGGTACTCTTAACAACTGACTGAGCCATCTCTCCAGCTCCTGTATTAGTCCCCCATTTTGAATTCTGTTTTTCTTAGGAATACTGTTCAGTTTTTACAGATGAAGTAGCTTTTGTCTGCATGTATTAATTTGCGTTCCTTTATAGAACTGTTCTCAGCCTTAAGTTTCTCCAGGTCCATTTTATTTTGTTTATCCCATCCTTCCTCTTCCATCCTGCTTGGGTTCCCTCATCTGTCTAGTGGTCATTGACTGTCCATTCGTTTTCAGGGTGGGTTATTTTCCCTTAGGTAGTTAGTTCTATGTATGGCTTCTTCTATTCCCGTATGTGGGGGTTGCTTTTACACTAGGCGTTTCTCTTGAGTAGGAATGGTCTGCTGTGTGGGGGTCAGATCTGCCCACAATTGCTTCACTTTAAAGGCTGTGCTTGACAAGTGTCGCTGTGGCATTCATGAGGCTCTTCTTCTCTTCACTAGTTTGTTCAGGAGCAGGTTTTCATTTGTTTGCTTTTGCTTTTGTTGCTGATAGAAAGCTGCCTAAACTTAGCTCTCTGGTAAAAGAATGGGAGCCCTACCTTCATGGTACCCTTCACTGTAATCCGTGGCTCCAAAGTTCAGAGTTTGAGGGTGTAGAACACTTAACTAATTCCCTTTTGTCTTTTTCATCCCTGAATTGTAGCAACCTTATTCAGGCATTGCCATTTTATATATTGACTCTTTCTTAAAATACATATTTGTACATATGTGTTTGTATGTAATTATGCAGATTTTGAATGTGAAGAATGTCTTGGTGGTGGTATCCCGTTGGTATGGAGGAATCCTACTAGGACCTGATCGTTTCAAACACATCAACAACTGTGCCAGGAACATCCTTGTGGATAAGAACTTCACCAGTACACCAGTAAGTAGCTGTTGATGCTGTAGTTAGAGTTTGCTATCACTGTGAAACTCCAAAAGAAAAATTAAGGGATGAATATATGGGCATTGTATTGGTAAGGGTATTGAACTAGGGAGCTGTAGGCCTAGGCCTTAGTCAGAATGATGAGAGAATCCTATTTTATAGGTCTGGTCTGTAGAGTTTATAGTAGAAAAAGTGGAAACCTCTCTAAATACTATCTATTGTCCATGCCCTCAAATTGAGGTCCAGGTAGATATTAGTTGTCACACTGAGTAGATGTTCTTGAGGTACCTGTAAAGTCCTGAAATTCTGTGTCAGAGTATCTATGCTTCCCTGACATGTCTGTGGATGTGTTTGTTTTGCTTATGCATTACATATATTTATAGCTATCTGTTTAGACTTGGGAGAATGGGGATAGATGAAATAATATTGAGATTTTTCATGTATAAATATATATGCTAGGTAAAATATTTTTCTTGACTGGTCTTTCCCGTCATGAAATACTATACTACACTATAAGTCCAAGTATCTTTAGGCAATGCTGACGCTTTTGGAAGTACATATTCTTCACCTATAGACCAGAAAAATGCTTGCTATGAGGTCCTATCTGTCCATGGATGTGGAGGTGCTACATTGACTGGTTTCTTTTCCAGGAGGAGTCATCTAAGAATTCTGGAAAGAAGAAAGTGAAAAAAGACAAGAAGAGGAGTTAACATTACTACTTGACAGTGTATGAAAGGTCAATTTCCAAGTCATTCTGTATACATTCCACATATTCTGTGCTTAACGAATATACAGAGATGGTACACTTGATAGCTCAAGTCAGCCAGTTCATCGTGGACACCAGCATTATGTTTCCTTCTTTGGTTCTATCATTTGCAAAAAGTAGAGAATTTAGGATATATTCACACGTCTTTCAGGCTTGTGTAGAACTGATAAGAGCTTAATTGCCATTTCATATAGCTTGGAAGGTGACAGATGCAGGGCATTGTACCTGAGCTAACTGTCTATTTCAGTTTGTGTCGAGTGCCTTTGTTTGGCAGGGGAGATGTATATTCAGAAAACTATAAATGCTTGATTTCTTGTGATAGAAATTCTCATACTATTAAATGACCATGCATTACTGCTCCCTATATAGCATATCAGAGTGGGAGCTCATTGAAGACTGACTTCTTAGAGACTCTTTCTTGTGACTTACAAGTTTGCCACTTTCCATTTTATAGTGTTCATCATGGAGTAATAGATTAAGTGACAATCCAGGAGTATCCATCTGTGATTATGTGCCAAAGTGGTAATTTACCATGTTTGCTAGCCCCAGTGGCATGCATTCCTTAGTTTTGTTGCAAATTGGTGTTTGTGAAATTTCAAAAGGTGATTTTGTAAGTCTGCCTTTTGTTGCTTAATTCCTGTAATGAAACACAGTGAGCACTGAATTGCAGTAGTTCTTCCATCCCCTAAGTGTGTTGATATAACATTACAGTGTTACTGAACAACCCTTCCTGTGTTCTTCCCTATGTGTGTTCAACGGGACACTTAGAGAATAAGGTAGAAATGGCAGAAGCCACTGATGCAGGGGGGAATGGGACTAGTTTGATGCACACTTGGCATCTGTGTTCTGGCCAGATTCTTTTAGTTCTGTGAGTTTTGTTGAGAAATGGAGGGACAAATCTTCGGATTAGAAAAAAATCTTTCCTCACAGATTCTTGACAAATCTCCTGTTCTAACAGTGTTTGTTTATTTACTTTTTACCTGCATATTACTTGTCAGAAAAAAGACAAGTTTCCCTTTGAGATGTAGGTAAGTTATACACAGTTATCTTTCAGATATGATGCCAACAATTACTAAGTTGATCAAGTGATCACAGGCTTGTTTGACTTCCCTCCCAAGGAAGGGACCAAAAGTTAGGAAACAGCTTTTGGGATGGTGCTGGAGTGTGAAGCATCTGAGGTTGGGCAGATGTTTTTCTCTAACCTTTAACCCTGAAAGATCCATATCCTCACTTCGTATTTTAAATAGGAATCCAGGAGCCAGCTTTACACTAGAGTGGGTTCTGAGACAGAAGTCTTATTTTCAACATTATTTAATGTTGTAAGTTACTGAGAATTATAGGATGACCTATATGTGTGTATTTGGAGCACGTACTCTGTTTCCATGAAATGCTGAGTATATCCTATGTATTAACTATTATGGAATTTAGACGTTACTTGTTAAAGATAATTTCATAGTCTTGACATTTCAGACTGTGAAAAGCGATAAAAGCACCAAGACTTATGCTGTTAGGAAGAAGAAGTAATTTTCCCAGCACACTGGTTCTGGTTTCTTCTCTGGTGTTTTGTTTAAAATGCATTTGTGTCTACAGACAACAAAACATTTTTTTTTTAAATATCTCTGATTTTATTTTCCTACACTTAAAAAATGTTATGTTTTCAAGATTACAAACCACATTTTGTGGGTTGAGATCCTTAACCTTCTTCAGTGCAGGTGGAAGGAAAGATCCCAAATTCTTCAGTTCTAACTCCTGAAATTACATATTTTACACTTACCATCGTTGAAAAATAATGGTAGCCCATTTTTCTCTACTAAAATAGAGAAGAAAAAACATATGTAGAGAATTTTCAAGTTCTCCAAATAATTAACTTTCTATCCAGGCAGAGTCTGTTAAGGTGTTCTCTATATTATATTAGTTCAAGTGTTCTTCACATGCCGGTGTATAAAAGCAAGTAGCATCTACTTTGATGGGCATAGCAGTAGCTGCATGAAGGAGGTGCTTATACTGCAAGACAGGCTGTTGGAAGGAAATTAGTTCAAACCAATCACAGAACAGATGAAGCAGATACTGTGTGCGGGCAGGTTGAGTGTAGAGGGAAAATTGTAACCCTATCCAGTCCACTAAAGAGATAACCGTAAATGGTGTATACAGTTCTTATTTTTTCTTATGCATGATTTTGTATATATGGCTATTTTTCTTTCCATAAAACGGTATTAAACTATATATACTGTTTTTATCCTACACATTTCATATAGAAGTATATTGTTAACATTTTCCCATATCAATAAATATTCTTCTATGGCTTAACTTTTTATGACTGCATTGTATTCTGTATTCTGGGAACACTGTAATATACAAACTCATCCTCTAGTTGTTTTCAGCAAATTCTTTTTCTTTAGATATTAGCCTTTGGAAGCAAATATTTGGAAGCAAACTTTCATTACATGAAAGTTTTTATTATTAGGAAAATATAGAAATGGGATTCTTCATGAAGAGTTTATATATTCTCACAGTGCTTTGTAGACTAGCCCCATTGTTCTTTATCCTCATTACAATTAGCAAATGCTGTTTTTCTTTTTAAAGTGGGAAAATAAGCAGTGTGGTTGATAAAATTCCTAATGTCCATAAAAAGGTGTATTCCCTAGTAATAGTGTCACATAAAAGTCCTGAATTTCATTCCAAACTAGGGAAATACATTCTAGACATAACTCCTTTGTTAAATACAGGTTTCCAATTACCCTCAAATATAGAGCCACCTTCCTTCTCTTAGCGGTGTCTATTGGCAAAGATCTGAATCATCTTCCTCTACTTTTTGGAGATACTGGGAATAGAACCCAGGCCTTTGTACATGTTAGGCAAGTCCTGTACCACTACATACATCCTCAGGTGTTTCCTCTTTTTGTACATCATTTTTTTGTTTTTGTTGTTGTTGTTGTTGGTGGTGGTGGTGTCATGTCTAAAAACTACTTGTCTTCTTGGCCATAAATAATTCCAATTCCTTCAAAAAGGTTTTCATTTGTGTATGCTTATGCCAGAAGTCAATGTTTGAGACCGTGTCTCACTAACCCTGGAGCTCATCAGTTGGGCTAGCTTGCTTGTCAGTGAGCTCGAGGCATTCTCCACGGGTGCTGGAGAGCCAAACACAGTCTTCATGTGTATGGTGCTAAATTCTTTATGATTTGTTAAAGCTTGCTGGGGATTCAAACTATGGGGGTCAAGCTATGGAGACCAGGTGGTGGTGGTACCCACCTTTAATCCTAGGACTCAGGAGAAAGGCAGATGAATCTCTGAGTTCAAGTCCACCCTGAACTACTGGAGAGTAAATCAGAGCTCATGCCTTTAATCCCAGGATTTGAGAGGTATAAAAGGTAGAGACATCCAGTCTGAGAGTTAGTTTCTAGCCATGTTGAGGATAGCATGGCAGTCTGCGTGAATCTGAGGAGCTGTGAAGTCGGGAGCAGTCTGAGGATCGCCCCTTTGTTCTGAGCTAGTGGCTCAGCTGCTTTGCTTTTCTGATCTTCAGCTTGAAGCTTGAACCCCAAAATCTGTGTCTGGGTATCGTGGTTTAATAAGGATCAGGAAAAACCAGATAGGCTGAATAGATATTTATTCAGGGAGAAATAACTTACAGCAGAGACAGATGAACACCAGCAGGTTCGTTGTCCCAAAGATGCCTAGGGAATGCTCTCTGTCCCTGTCCTGCAAGCAAGAGAGGCTCCGGTGTCTCTTCCCCAGACCTGCTTCCCCAGGTCACGGTGTCCCTTCCCCAGACCTAGTTCCCCCAGGTCACTACTGCCCCTGTCCCAATCCCCAACGGCCATGATCAGTGCCACATTTGTGGACAATGTGAATATCTCACTACATCTGGGTAGTACAAATACACAAATGGTAATGTACAAATACACAAAAAGGCTTCTTTGAGGCCACTGACCCAGGCCCAAGCCTGATCTGCAGACAGGACTCCCAACTGAGTTCCTCCTCCTGAGTCCCTGCCAGACAGCTGGGTTTTCCCCTCAAATCTTTGAACAAGTGTAGAGTTTTTGGTTGTAGCTTTTCTAAACAGTCTTCAGCTGCCACCCAAACTTGGACATCGTTCAGGCTCTTTTCACACAGCCCTTTTCCTCTGGCTAACATTCTCAGCTTACGGCCACAAGCTAATTTCTATGATTCAGACCTCACAGTTCACTGACATCATCATCAGATTTGGTAAGTCAATTGGAAATTCTTAAAGGAGGGCATTAGTTAAAAAAGAGAGTTTTCCCCACACACACAAAAAAAATGGAAAACACTATTAAAATGGAGAGAATTACATAATGGATGTTTTAAAAATGAAATAATTAAATGAAGGGATAATCAACTTGGATTGGTATACTGTTAATTATCACTGATAGTCTTTGCTGTCCTTTTGATAATTCTTGTCTTATCTCTAAAAAAGTTGGTTGATATGAGTGCTAAGATGCTGGCCTTAGCAAAACTTATTAAAGCAGATTATTGAGATATTCAAACCCAGACTGAGGAGTTACATGGAGAACCAAATTCAGCATTACATTTAAAGGTTATAAAGGAACTTGCTAAGGTCTTAAGAGCACCACCATTAATATATCCAGTTACCTTACAAGAAGTGCCAAGTGATAGAGGTTCTAAAAGAGCTACTTAGGAGCCTGTGATAATGGTAGATTTAGGGAAATAAGCACTCAGAGGAGCAATTGTGTGTGAGTCAATTCTTTCCCACAGTACCCCTTCATTATTTTTCTTTTGCCAGCTGTAGAGTCTTATCTGGACTCTGTAGGGGATCCCTAAAAAGGGGGCTGGCACCCCAAAAAGGATCCTGAAAGGAATATAAATATAGGATAAAAACTAGACTATTGAATCTACTTCTAAAAAGTATAGATATGATGAGATTAAAAAGTAGGCTATTGAATCTGCTTTTAAAAAGCAACTACTAGTTTTAAATATTTTACATTGGATTGGACTTACAAATATTGTATATTGATACAAATTTGAAATTAATTTGTTAAGACATATTGCACACATGTTTCTAATCTTGTTTAAGGTATTATACCTATACAGCTCATGTAATGTAAATTTATCAATGTAATGTAAAATTCTAGTTCTTGAAAGTTATTATTACAAACTGTATGAGATAATAAGAAAATGTAGGTGAGTCAACTATTAAAATTGATCCTGTAGTCACATTAGGTATGTTTTTTAAAAACCAAACAAAGATACATTTTAGATATATGGGTCATCTTCAAACACTTCAAAGATCTACAGAATATGGCATTTAAAATGTTTTAGTAACATAGATATTTTTTATGACAATGAGACATGTTTGCTCCTGGCAGCACCAGTCTATGTCAGAGAAGACTATGGACATCGAAGAAACTCACATGGAGTTTACTTTCTTTCTGGCAAAGGTTAGCCACCGGGCAACAAAGTATCTTTGCCTCGACTGCTGACAGTATGCTGTCCAAACTGGACAAACAGGACACAAAAGAGAGTGACTGCAAAATCTCGCCAAGACGAAGTAGGACAGTCCTTCAGAAAATCCTGCTTCACAGAAAAGTCTGTGAGAGCTACTAGACCTGTAGGCTGAAGATGGGTGCCCCAGCATTTCAGCGGAACCGTGGGTGACTGTCCAGGCATCCGTTTTTGTCATTTCTCACATCTTTTGGAAGTAACTTGCTCAAACTTCCTGCTTACATAGTTAATATTATTTTCTTCTCAGGTCTCTGAGGGAGTTGAAGACTAGATAGTTATAGTTTCCCTTGTTTACCAGACTTGGAAAGGAAACTCACTAAAGAAATGTAAAGTGCAAAAGGTTGAGAGATATTTAAAACATACTTTGATAACACAAATTATGATAGAAAGTAAATTAGGTACAAGACTTCGGATTCACCAGGATAGAATATATAGTGGTATTTTTTATGAGTTTGTTAAATGCAAATGTGTTCCTGGGTGTTTCTGCCCCGTATTGTTGATCTCACAGTCTCTTTAGCCCCCAAAACACACAGACACTATATTAATTATAAAACTGCTGGCTGGTGGCTAAGGGCTTCTCACTGGCTACCTCTCTCAGCATTATTAACCCATAACTACTAATCCATGTATTTCTTCATGGTCTTACCTTACCTTACCTATCTTCCTCGTCTCTACATGGCATCTCTTTGGTGGCCTCTTTGCCTACCTTTCATAGTAAAATTATAATAAAACAGTTACAAGTAAGAACTAAAGTTAACAATATTTAGTCCATTAACATTTGGCAAAATTTAAACAAAATATTCTACCATTGATTCTATCTTTGTGAATCTTAAACTTTATATGTAACTTGTCTTTGCTTATAACTAACAAAAACCATAACCATAACTATCTGTTATCATTGTATGTAGTTTTTGCATCAGGCTTTGAACCTTCTTTAGACTAAAAGGGGAATTGTAGTGACAAATCACCTTGCAAGTGTATTTGTGTTATTGGCCATAACCCTTTGGGCATGTGCAAACATGACTGGAAGATATTCTCCCTCCCTCCCTCCCTCCCTCCTTCCCTCCCTCTCTGTCTCTCTCCTTTCTCTTTTTCTCTCCCTCCCTCCCCCTCCTCCCTCTCTCCTCTACCTCCTCCCTCTCTCCCCTCCCTCCCCCTCTCTCTCAGGTTATGGATTGAATCTGAAAGGCAGAGACTTCATCTTCTGGAGCAGGAAAGCCAAGGTGGTTCTTTATTAGCATCTGTGTAAGGTGTTCCCCAATAAAACACCCATTTATCTTGGGTCTAGTGAACTCATTACTACCCTGCCTTCACAAATGGACTAGATATCTATGAATTTGTCAAATGCAAATGGACTGGACATTGTTTGTGAAATTATATGTTATATATACTTATTGTATGTATTTTTTCTTATGTTGGGGGGAAGGGGACATGTGGTGATAAATTCTTTATGATTTATTAAAGCTTGCTGGGGATTCAAACAGCAAAGCCAGCTTCAAGCTATAGAGATCTGGTGGTGGTGGTACCACCTTTAATCCCAGGACTCAGAAGAAAGGCAGATGAATCTCTTGAGTTCAAGGCTACCTGGGGCTACCAGAGAGTGAATCAGAGCTCATACCTGTAATCCCAGGATTTGAGAGGTATAAAAGGTAGAGACATTCAGTCTGAGAGTTAGTCTTTAGCCATGTTGAGAAGAATATAGCAGTCTGAGTGAATTTGAGGAGCAGTGAAGTTGGGAGCAGTCTGAAGATTGCCCCTTTGTTCTGAGCTGAAATCAAGGTAAGAGCTAGTGGTAAGAACCCCAAAATCTGTCTCTAGGTTTTTAT